TCATATTTTGCTTGGAAAGATGTAGGGGTATGAAATATTTACTTCCTCTTTAGATAATAAATAAAAAACTATTCTTGAAATAATACTTTTAAATTTGAAGTTCAATTTGTTTTGTTTTTTAAAACAATATCAAGCAGCAAAAGACAAAAATGCTCCACATAATCTTTTTCACCCTGGTTTGAGGGTAAAGTTTGAATATCAGCGCCCCTGTGCTGAGTTTCAGAAGCTGGCATTATCTGAGAAGTTGCTATTTTTATGTCCAGTTGTAATGTTTCTAATTGTGGTGCTGGGAGGAGTGGGCACTTTCTCTCCCAGAAGGCTCTGCATTCTAAACATGTTCAGGTCAGTTTCACATAACGCTACCAACAAGAAGCAGTAGGCCCTTTGCAGGCTGTGTTTCTAACCGGAATATTATGAGAAGGCACTGGGAGTCACAGGCTGTATTTGGGAACCAGCTGCATGTCAGGACAAGCATGGATTGTGGTCCCAGGAGGCTGAGAGAACACAATGATTAAATTTATTTTATTTGGAAGATAAGAAGAAAAAGTATCTACTGACAAGATTGACATTGTCTTCGGAAGTGAGCTGACTGCTTGGAAAGTAAACATTCACTTTTCAAAGATGATGATCAAGGAAACATCTTTGCGAAGGGACCCGGATTTAAGGGGAGAATTAGCTTTCCTAGCAAGGGGCTGTGACTTTGTTCTCCCATCACGGTTTAAGAAGCGGCTGAAGTCATTTCAGCAGTCACAGGTTTGAAATTTGGGTGTTTCTTTTAAATATTTTAATTACTAATAAAATCACCCAGTAAACTAACACACAAATAATTTTATTACTCACTTGTAGTTGGTATTAGGTCAAGGAATTAATCTGTGTTCTCTGTTCAGCTATTTGCAGAAAGCTATTTGTAGAGGATTCCAGCAGGTTTAAAAATAGAGCTTCTGGGGCTGGAGTACAGTACTCACATTTTTACCCGGTAGGGAGGGAAACCTGTTTTGCAGACAATAAATACAACTTAACAATTATTTACGAAGCATACTAGAAAATTGTAATTCCTTTAGAAACACAATTTGTAAGTTTAAGTAAGTAGATTGTATTACAATATAGTTATAATGAATGTTTATCTAAAAGAATATGGATCCTGATAATATTTATAAAAGCAGAGTATCTTTTACTTTATTTATTAGTGTGTGTGAATGATATATGTAAACACACAGACCACAGCACATATGTAGAGATCAGAGAACAACTTTTTAAAGTCAGTTCTTGCTCCCACCTTTATGTAGGCCCTGGAGATTCAACTCTGGTTATCAGGCTTGTAAGGCAAGTGCCTTTATCCACTGAACTATCTTGCCAGCTCCCAGAGGTATTTTTAGATAAAGACAACAGTAGATGTCTACAGTAACTGTGGACATGTAGATAATGAAACATAACAATTTCTTCTAAATTTTAAACAAATGCCTTCCCCTAGCAAGCTGAGACTGATTGTTGGCTGAACGACTACAGAGTCTGTGCTTCATTGCTTATAATCTCAGGGCCAGTGTCTGTGTCATCACACAAGTTGCCTAAAATGGAATACAATACAAGTCAAGGACTGTACAAGTGCTAGCAATCCAAATTCCAGCAAGGAACCATAATTTCGTAGTGATTCTGACCCAGAAAAACTTCAGATTTAGGGGTGAGGCTTGTGATTTGTTTTTCATGTGTCAAAATGTCAAATGTGTCAAATATTGGAACTATTATAGTGACAATATCAGTGACTGTTCAGAATCACTAAGTAATGTAATGGTGCTGAAAACCTGAATAGAGAATTGAGACACTTCTCCAATGTACTCTTTTTTATTACCAATCCTATATTAGATCAAAACAGCTTTATTTGAAGTGAGGCTATATCAAACTTGCCAGCAAGTCAGGAAACAATTGCAAGTTTTTTATGTATGTTTGCAAAGTCAGTTTTATTATACTACTTTAAGGTTTAAAGTATGTGTCTCCCAATTACGCAATTGCAGGTAAATTGTTAGAGCTGAAAGTTCAGAATAAATGCATATTTTATATTATTTTTCTTTATTAATCAATTAATTAATAAATACTTGTTTATTAGTAATTTGCTTTGTATTAAGAAGTACACACACACAAAAGATAATAGTAGGTCATCAAATGTTTTCCCATTCAGTTAATTTTAGCAGTCAGTGTTTGTTCTGAATGTTGTGCTCATCTGTCGGTACAAATGCACAGTTAACACTGAAGGTCGTGCTCTAGACCTCAGCATGTGTCCATACTTACTGGCAGCAGTGGCCTTAATTCTAATGCCATAACTGCCCTGAAATTAAACCTCATGTCACTGGATATCATACTGTTGAAAACACTTTCAAGAAACAGAATTTTGATGATTGAATTTTCTGCACAAAATAACAGAATAGACGTGGCACTGATACACAGATCTAGGTAGAGCCTCTGAAGATCTGCCCTATTTCAGAATTTCAAGAAAACTTTCTAGTGCTGCTGACTCATATTTGCAGATTTAGCATTAAAAGCAAAGAAATGTTTGTTCAGACTAGATTGTCACTTTGCTAAATCAAGAGAAGTTTATAAACTTTGGATTGCTTTACAAGTGGACATGACTGTTTATTATTAAAATCTAAAGGACTGTGCCAAATTCTGCTTCATTTATAATCTTTTGAGAACCCCACTGTTTAGCTTTGTCACTTATTGCCTTTCACGAGGACAAATATGTGCTCAGCACTGTTTGGAACCATTTATATATGTTGCATTCTGTTATTTATTTAAGTCCCCACAATCTTGCAAAAAATGGGAAATGTGATTTCTGTTTATTACCATAATTCTAAAAGATTAGGTAACACTCCTGAGGTCACAGACTTGTAAGTCATCACTGTTTACTGTTGTGTTTTTTTATGTTCATTGGCCTCATTTCTTTCTGTGCTGCTCCTTCTTTGACTGTGGATTATATAGGATCACTGTCCAAACATTAGGAATAGCAAGGTCATTGAATACTACCTTGTGTTCACAGTAAATTTAAAAAAACAAAAACAAAAAAACTTAGGTCTGGGGAGGTAACTCAGTGGCAGAGAACCTGCCTATCAGTACTATCTCAAAACCTAGCTACTCAATAACTATGTCTATCTTTCATACTTTATGTAGCATCTACTACGTTGCCTTGCTCGGACTCTTGTTAATTTAGAACCCTATAAGCCTTCATGAAATCTTTTTTTTTTTTTAATTTATTTTGGTTTTTCGAGACAGGCTTTCTCAGTGTAGCCCTGGCTGTCCTGGAACTTTATCTGTAGACCAGGTTGGCCTAGAACTCAGATATCTGTCTACCTCTGCCTCTCGAGTGCTAGAATTAAAGGCACGCACAAACAATGCCAGGCACCTTTTTTATTTTTTTCTGCTAGGAATCTTAGAGTTGAATTTAGTCTTCATTGCTAAAAATAAACTCCTAAAAAGCGGTACATGTGGGTTTGGCGAGATGGCTCAGCAGTAGGAGCCCTTGCTGCTCTTATCGAGGACATGGGTTAGATTCCTAATATCCACAATGCAGCTCACAACCATCTATAACTTCACTCCCTGTGGGTCTGAAGCCCTCTTCCAACCTCCACAGCACCAAGCATGTACATGGTGCACAGAAATACATTCAGGCAAATACTCATACACATTAAAAATAAATCTTTAAAAAAAAAACTGCACATGATAGCATACTGCTGTAATCCCAACACTTGAGTGATGGGGGCAGGAGAATATTGAGAACAAGGTCAACCTTGACTTTGTAGTTTATATAGTTAAGAGTTCAAGCCCAGCTTAGTCTACATTGAAACCCTATCTCAAAAAAAAAAATTGAAAGAAGGAAAAAACAAAAAACCCAAAAGCCAAAAAAACAAACCCTCCTATCTGAATGATGGTACACCTCCCTTGACCTTTTCCTCTATCCTGAGTACCAAGTTCTCTGATGCCTTACCACGCCTCTTTTCCCTTTCCCTTCTAATGTCCCATGGAGCACACTACAACAGGTACTTTTGGGGAAAAGGAAAGATATAAACTATAAATTAACATTTAATTAACAATAAAGACTGGTAATGATGAAACTATCAACCATGGTTCTCGCCTATTAGAGGATACCAAATGAGTTAAATTTTTATCTTAGGGAAAATAGCCCATTATATCAGGGTCAGTGGCAAACAAATCAGCCAGGAGTTTTCTGAAGTGCTTGTCAAATACTGTCAGTAATTCTACTTTGGTAAAGTCAAACTAGAAAAGGCATTTAAAATATCCCATATCCCAGATACATTTCAATATGTTTATTTTCTTTTTTAAGAAAGAGTCTCTTGAAGCCCAGGCTGGCCTCCACATTGCTCTAGAGCAGACGATGGCCTTTAGCTGCTTCTAAGTGCCAGAACGACAAGCTTGTACCACCACACCTGGTTTTATAAAGTACTGGGTATTGAATCCAGTGCTTCGTGTATGGGAGATAGTCAAGAACTCTATATACCCAGCCCCAATTCTATACATTTTAGAAGGCAGTATGGTCACCACTATACCACCAATGCAGATATTAGATGTATATTTTTAAAGAAATTATCATTTCTTCCATTTGGTGGAGGGCTGGAAATTCACACAAAGACCAAGAACAGTTTTTTTTTTCTCTCTGTAGCTTTGGAGCCTCTCCTAAAACTAGCTCTTGTAGACCAGGCTGGCCTCGAACTCACAGAGATCTGCCTGCCTCTGCCTTCTGGGTGCTAGGATTAAAAGCCACCACCAGCTGGCCCAAGAACAGTTTTCTAAAAGAGCCTAACTAGTAAAGTTCCAGCAGATTAAGAATACACCTTGACCGCACTGACTGTTCCAAAAAGCCATCTTTGTACTGTCCCTGGGTCTGCTCTGTGCTCACTGAAGCCACCTTCTCTGCCTGCTGGACTTAGCTGGCAGCTACCACAGCTTCCCACCAAAGCCTTTCCCACTATGTTGTATCACCGCCGTGCCCCACCATGTCATATGTGTCCGTGGACACCAGCTCTGAGTCCACAGACAAAGACTTGAAGGAAATGAAGGAAGTTGTGGAGGAAGCAGTGAATGGAAGAGGTGCACCTGCCAATGGGAATGCTAGTGAGGAAAGTATAGATGAAGAAGAGGAAGAAGGTGATGGCAAGGCAGAGGATGGAAATAAAGATGAGGAAACTGAGGCTCCTATGAGCAAGCAGGTAGCTGAAGATAAAGGGGATAATGATGTTGACACCAAGAAGCAGAAAGTCATTGAGGATGACTAGACAGCAGAAAGGGAAAGCTAAGCTTAAGGCTACCTGTCGGTTAAAATGTGGTCACCTTTGAGTAGAACAGGCTCTCCTGCCTATTGGGCAGTGCCACCTACAGATGACATGTACTTTTTACCTTCCCACCAAAACCACAGCATGAATTTACAACAGAGGAGGAACAAAAAAGAACCAAAACTTCCAAGGCCTTGTTTTTTTTTTTTCTTAAAGATATTTCAAAGGGAAAATTTATATTTTTGACATATGCTCTCTATTTTTTGTACATATTGTTGGGGGTCAGCCACTTTTAATGATTATGGGTGGCCAAACCAGCCTTCAGAGTGTTATTTGTGCTGTGACAATATTCACTATATATTTTTTTTCTGAAAGGAAAAAAAAAGTTTGTAGCGGAATTAAGGGTTGGTGGCAGGGGTGGCACACACCTTTAATTTCAGCACTTGAGAGGCAGAGAGGCAGGTAGATCTCTGAGCTCCAGAACAGTCTGGTCTACAGAATAAGTTCCAGGACAGTAAGGGCTACACAGTGAAACCCTGTCTCAAAAAACAAAAGCAAAATCTTTTTCCAAGCATTCCAGTAACTTTTTTGCATGTATTTACTTAGCTGTACTATAAGTAGTTGGTTTTTATGAAATGGTTTTAAAAGCCCAAAGATAAAAGGGTTTATTTTACTTAGTTGTTCTAACAACAACAAGAAGAATACACTTAAAGATCTTGATCAGCTGATACTGTTCTAGCTGATATTGCTCTTTGATTATCTTAAAATACTTGGTAACTGATAGATGGAAAAATTAACTGTAGGATTTTTAAACCATAAATCTAGAATAACAAGTATTGACAAACAATATGTTAATTTTTAGTATGTAAAACATTCCCTAGAAGCATGCTTACTGTCCTCTAGAATACTCTAAAGCGTGTCTATTTGCACATTCTTGTATTTATATACAACTTTTTATTGCTAATGACGACTCTTGAAAAATATATACTGCTTAGAATTTTGTATCTTATAATCACATTTTTCTTCCAGATTCAAAATAAACCAGAAAAGAAGCCTGCATCACCACTTCCATCTGCAGCTGCCCTTCCAAGTAGTCCCCAGCCTGCCTCCCCTGCTCCTCGTGTGAATGATGCTGTGACTGCACCGTTGTCCATAAACATTCCACAGTTCTACTTCCCTGATGGACTCCCAGACACCTGCAGTAACTATGAACAGATCCTAAGCAGAGTTGAAACTGCTTTCATGGATATTGAAGATCAGAAAGCAGATATTTATGAAATGGGAAAAATTGCAAAGGTAATATAATTGTTGAGTGAATGATTCCCTTTTGCTAGCAGTGCCAACAGTGCCCTCTTACCTGCCTCTTTGCTCTGATTTTAAAGACAGGTTTTGGTTTTGGTCTTCTTATGAGGAAAAATTACTTAATCCTAATACATCTGTGGTCCTACTTCATAGAATTTTTTTAACCTTGACTGACCTTGAACCCATTTTGTAGACTAAACTAACCTGAGAATTTGATTTAGCACTTTTACCAGGCTGTACTTTAAAAGGCTAAAGGTTATAGTGGCCTGAGAGGCACATAGAAGCAAGAAGGAGATCAAGGAATGCCTGAAAATCCATTTATACTTTCATGTAGAAGGAATAATTTTTTTAAATTTGCAAACTTTTATTCTTTGAGATAAAGCCCTGCCTTCTCCCCTTTGAATTTCATTGCCTCCAGAGTCAGATACCAGGGATACTTTCTAAAATTGTCTAATGCCTGTTTGGTACATGAGCCAGGTTCTCTTGCCTGCTCACGAGTGTAGGTAGATTATACTGTCCTCTCTCTCCTTCATGATGGATTTCTTCTCCTACCAGTTTATCCAGCATCTACTTTAAAGACCTTCTTCTCATCCTGTTTGCAAAAGTGTACATTCTAATCATGTTCCACCCACTTCCCTAACTGACCTTACTGAGCTGTGTTGCTGTTAAATGGATCACAACTAGAGAGATTTTTTTTAAAAAAACTGAAAAATAATTTTTCTTATTTCTTCACCCTCTCCCCATGTCAGAAATTACTTGATGAGATGTTTCTAATAAAAATTTCTATTGCAGAAATAAGAACTTACCTATTTACACTGTTTTATCTATGAGGAAAGTAGTCCAACAAGAACTTAGCAGAAGTCATAGAACAAGTTCATGTGAGGAAACAGTTCCTCTCATTTCTAGCATGGTGTTGTTTCTATTTACATTATCTAGATGAGCATGCTCCAAATAAGGCAACATCAGATAAATGGCCATCTAAATTAGAAGTTCTCTTTCTAGGGCATTGGGTTTCCTTCTTTCCTGAGAGATAGCTGTTGTGTTAGATGATAGACTGAAGATGCTAAATTCCCTGAATAGGCTAAAGCTACAGATCTAAATATGAAACATAAAATTTAGCAAGAATGAGTGAAATATTCATTTGGAAGCAATTTGTTAAACCAAAACTCTAGAGACCAGGGTATCTGTAAAGAAAGGGTTTTGAAGCATTACAGATGCTAACCAGAAAAATAAAAAAATACAACCAGGTCCTGAGACGACGTTCAGCAACTACCATAAGACAGGTTAGAAGCAGTTAGAAAGTGTCTACCAGATTAAAACTAAAAGCATTTTTATAGACATTCCGGGAAATGATGTACACTTGTTGGCAGAGGCTACTTGTTCGTTTCCTGACCACCCAGACCCAAAATAATCACACTGAAACTAAATTAACTATAACACTGCTTGGCCTATTAGCTTATGCATATTTCTAGATAACTCTTACATTGTAAATTAACCCATTTCTATTAATCTGTGTATCACCATGTGGCTATGGCTTCCCGGGTAAAGTTCCAGCATCTGTCTCCTCTGGCAGCTACATGGCATCTCACTGACTCTGCCTACTCTCTCTATATCTTTTCCAACCTGGCTATATTCTGTTAAGCCATTGACCGAAAGCTGCTTCTTTATTAACCAATGGTATTCACAGCATACAGAGAGGAATCTCACATCACCTCCCCTTTTCTGTCTAAATAAAAAGGAAGGTTTTAACTTTAACATAGTAAAATTACATATAACAAAACAGTTATCAAGCAAGAATTACAGTTACAATATTTATATCTACTTTATCTTATAACTAAGGAAAACTATAACTATAGCTGTCTATTCTTCAACTCCATCAAAGACTCCAGAAGGATATAATATTACCTAAGTAAACAAGAAGTGCATTGTAAGCAACTTCCAAAACTCTTAGAGTTGACAGAGACATCTTGCTACCTGGACAGTCACCCAAAGTTCTTCTGTAATGTGGCATCCAATCCTCAGCACACAGGCCCATAGTATCTGGCAGGCTTTTCCATGAAGCAGGAAATTTCAAAGACAGTTCTACCTATATTAGAAGTTTGTCAATCACTTTCTTCTGTGTCCTGCAGAATGTCTGGCAGACTCTTTCATGAAGCAGGAACCCAGAAGGACCATCTCACCTTTAGGCAAGTTCATCAGTCACTTTTCTATGGGTCCATCATGTCCAGTTCATGCAGCATAACATCAAGCAGTCCAGGCAAGAGCAGTTTCTTGCCCAGATGGCTAGCAAACTCCATAAGGAGCCTCTTTGATGCCCATCATCCTCTTGAAGTAGATTGGTGCTGGTAGAAGCAGATGTATCTCATTGTTATGAAAAGTCCTAAGTTCTTAAAACATTTTAAATGCCATATTCTGAAGGTCTCTGAAAGATCTAAAGACTATCTATCTGAAATATATCCCTGTACGTCTAGAAAACCTAACATAACTACAAGCTTGACTATTATAGATGACTAAGCTTGACTATTATAGATGACTCTCTATTAACCTATATTTCTTAATTATACATTATATTTTTAAATGAGTTGCACAAACACAATATGTTAATCAAGAGCAGAAATATATAACATAATTGATCTTAAATTTGTATCAATAAACCAAGATTCATGCCAATGCAAAGTATCCATCTCTATAGCATACCCTTTAAATGTAAATAAACATTTGTAAACAATATTTGGGAATTTGGGCATAGTTCTCTCCAAACTACTTCACATTAGCCTGGAAGGAATCCACAGGTTTCCATCTTCTGTGGAAAAAAAAGCAGAACCTCTTTTCCAAAACAACATATCCTTAGACTCAAATTTTGAAGTCAAGATACCTTTAAAATATATATATATTGGTTTAGCTTAGCAGCCTGTACAATGAAATGTCTCTCTGTACTTAGTTCATTCACTGTCAAAAAATTCAAAGAGCCGGGCAGTGGTGGCGCTCGCCTTTAATCCCAGCACTTGGGAGGCAGAGGCAGGTGGATCTCTGTGAGTTCGAGACCAGCCTGGTCTACAAGAGCTAGTTCCAAGACAGGCTCCAAAACCACAGAGAAACCCTGTCTCAAAAAAAAAAAAATCAAAGAAAACATAATATATATAATCCAGATTCTCTGTGTATTTTTCATCTTGATGTGACTTATTACTATTATCTCCTTTAATCTATGACTGTCTGTACTCTGTCTCTTTAAAAACTTTGTTTTATTTTTTTCTATACTCTTTTTCCCGCTCTCTCATAAGCCTTAAAGTACATTTTTTTAAACACAATGTGACTCATTCAGAGGTTTGTTTCTGTCTGAATCTGTCTTTATTGCATATCTGTAATTATTTCTGACCAGGAGTGCTTTAAAATGGTAAGCAGTGTGGTTGCGGCAACCCTGGGTGCTGGCTCCACCTCTTTCCATCTTTCAGTATGGCAGAGGTACAATTACTGCCAGCTCTGAGACCATCAAGTAGGAACCACACTCACCACTTAACTCTGAGAAGTGTGCAACACATAAGCCCTTTTTATCTGAGTAAATGCTAAATCTGCTATGCAGTGCACTGCGTGGCCTGGAAGTATCTCTGTGTATGGCGATGGGAATCCGCCATGGTCTCCTGCCTGTGCACTCCTAGCAGACCTGATTCTGCTGCCTGCCCAGGCAGGGAGCAGTGAGCTGCGGGCATGATCTCAGCTATTTACCTCCCAACTCTGAGTGGGCACAAAAGCATCCAGACCCAAAGTAGGTGGCAGGCATCAGCCCCAAACATTTCAAACCATGTTGGCATGCCATTCTGTTCATAGAGGCTGCTTGTTTATTTCCTGGCTGCCCAGACCCAAACTAAGCACACAGAAACTGTATTAATTAAAACATTGCTTGGCCTATTAGCTTATTCATATTTCTAGGTAGCCCTTATCTCTTAAATTATTCCATTTCTATTAATCTGTGTGTCACCATGTGGCTGTGGCTTACCCAGCAAGGTTCTGGTGTCTGTCTCCTTTAGTGGCTACATGGTGTCTCACTGACTCCACCTATTCTCTCTCTATATCTTTTCCAGCCTGGCTGTATTCTGTTAAGCTATTGGCCAAAAGCCGCTTCTTTCTTCACAGCATACAGAGGTGAATCCCACATCACACACTGGCTGTAGATAAGGACAGGAGAGTGCAAAGCAGAGATAGGTTTGGGGAGGAGGGTCATCTGGATTAGCTCAGTTAACAGTCAAAGCAGGGATAGGTTTGGGGAGGAGGGTCATCTGGATTAGCTCAGCTAACAAGTCAAAAAGGTTTTAAATAAACAGAAACACACACTGGTCTTCATAATTAAATTTATTAGAATCTCTCAGAATTTTTTTATCAGATGTTCACTGCATAAGTGCCAAATGGTTGTTTCTTAAGTAGGAACAATTTATAAGAGAGTTAATTTTCCTGGAATGCTTCAGATGGGCAGATAAGGAGAAACTATCTCTTATGGGGCTAGGGGATCCATGTCTAGAGAACTATGGTTGTTTGAATAAGATGTCCCCCATAGTCTTGGGCATTTGAATATACTTAGTCTCCAATTGATGAAGCTATTTAGAAGGTTTAGAGATGTGATCTTGTTGGAGGAAGTATGTCATTGGAGGTGAGCCTCAAGAGTATAAACCCTTGCATCATTCCTAGTTCACTCTCTCTACTTCTTGCTTGAGGTTCAAAATATGTATTCTCCACTTCCTACCCTAGCCACCATGCATCCACTCTACCATCATGGACCCTTATTCCTCTGGAACCATAAGCCTAAATAAATTTTACCTGTGAGTTTTCATGCCCATGGTGTTTTATATCACAGCAATAAAAAAGTAACTAATACAAAAACCTATCCCAGCAATGAGTACCTCACAGCCACAGGCCTGCAGCTTATCCTGTTCTAAACAAAGATTCCTGGGATTTCCCTGTTCTTCTGAATATTCCCAACCCCTTAAGCCTGTTACCCTGTT